GCACCCGCAGCCAGCCTGCCGGCTGATGGCAGGTGCCTGTGTCTGCTGTGGGCCTGGGGCTGTGTCGTCCCCTCCCCCTTGTTTCAGCAAGCTCTGAGTTCTGGGAGGGAGAAAATGCATTTCCCATCTGAGAAAGTCAAGTTCAAGGCTTAAACAAACTGGTTGAAAGGGCCACATACCAAATGGCAGACAGAGAGAAACTGGTGAAAATGGTACGGATGCAACCAGGCTGTCATCAGAAAAACCGGAAAAGAGAGAGTGTGACTTTCATGTGCAGCCAGCTCCAGGGCTGCAGTTCTCATATATGATGGATTCCACTGCTGTGGCTGCCTGGAGAGCTGGAAGACTTCCCATTAGCAGTGTCCAGAACATCTTATGGCGCTGAGAAAAGGAGAGACCAGCCAGGGCCAGATGGTGATGCCTACGCAACTCCAAATCCTGGGCTCTTTCACTCAGTCAATTGCCTGACTGCAGAAACTATGTGTCAAAATCCTTACAAAATCCTGATGAGAGGAAAAGCAGCCACCCAGGTGACAGCAAAAGCTGGCTCCAGCTGACACTGACCAGGGGGAACAAGTTCCAAGTTGGAGGACTTCATAAACAATGGCCCCAGCATGATTGGCTAAAATGGCTTCATTGTTTCTATGTTGCCTCTGAGAATAGAGCCAAGCCCAGTGGCTGGGTATTAATGTAAGGAAGGGGCTTCACAGGGCTGGGAGATGGCTGCTTGCCAAGAAAGGAACCTCATTCATACCCTAAGTACTCACAGAGCCCTCGTACACACACATTGGTAGTGGCATTGCCACGATAGGTACAACATGGGTGGGAGCAACCCAAATGTCCGTCAATGGAAGGATGGACGAGCAAAGTGCAAGTTATGCATACGATGAAATCTGATTCAGCTTTAAGAAGGATATTCCAAGCTAGGTGCCATGGGCCACCTGTAACCCCAGAGGCTTAGGAGGCTGAGGTGGGAGGCTCTTGAGTTTAAAGCTAACCTCGGCAACTTAGTGAAGCCCTAAGCAACTCAGTGAGACTCTGTCTCTAAATAAAGTATTAAAAAGGGCTGGGATGTGGCTAGTGGTTAAGTGTCCCTGGGTTCAATCCCCAGTATAAAAATAAATAAATAAACAAAGGAAATGCCATCTTACACTTTAACATGTGACACAAACCTTGAGGATATTGTGCTCCATGAAATAAACCCTTCACCGAAGGACAAACCATACACTCCCCACGTCGGGAGGAAGTGGGAGTGGTCAGATTCACTGGAGACAAGGTAGCTAGCTGGTGGTTCCCCAGGGCTGGGATGGGGACGGGGTAGGGTTTAATGGGTAGAGTTTCAGTTATGAAAAGAAAAGTTCCGTGGATTTGTGGTGGCAGTGGTTGCCCAACAACATGAATGTCCTTAAGGACACTGAACTGTGCATTTAAAAGTGGTTGAGATAGTAAATTTTAGATTATGTATATTCATCATAATAAAGTTTAGAAAGAACATTAAAGAACTTTTCAATAGTCTAGTCTGAGTTGCCTCCAGAAGGGCTGGACTGGGCTGCTTTCGGAGGGGTGTGCATGGGGGCTGTACGTGGGGGCAGGTGCATGTGAGTGATTTGCTGGGACTTGTCTCTGGCCTTCACTACTGGCTCACACTCCCTGTTCCTCTTCCTTTAGGAATTCCCTGCTGGCTCAGGATCGATCCTCCCTCCCCTCTGTGCTCTCCCCGACAGGCACAAGTGTGTGAATGACTGTGGTGAATGTGGGCTGTCCCCCATGGGGATGCTCACCAGCCACCAGCAACCATGGTCATCCATGGCCCCTGGGCCAGTGCTGTGCTATCCACTTCCACCAGGTGGGCAAGTGCAAATGTTTCCAGCCAGCCCCGCCAGGCCTACCTCAGCAGGACACACCGATGCGTGGCTTGCTATCCTGGACTGCCATTGCCACTTCCCAAGAGCCACAGCAGCACTGGCTTCCCAGGGAAGGATGTGTCACCCTGGAGCCTCTCCCCAGCCTTGAAGACCAAGTACACAGGGTGTACTCAGTACACAGGGTGTCAGCAAGGCTGCCTCTGAGGCTAGTCTAGGTTAGGTAATGGTGAGTTAGGACAGTGCCACGCTCCCTGATCACTGAATGATGCTATTATAGTAAAGGTGTTCTCTGCACCCATTATCTGCCATCTCGAAGCACTCCCGAGGCACCTCCCCACTATGCAGAGGGAGACCAGGGAGCCTCACAATTCATCCAAAGGCACATCCTTATTAAATGGCAAAACTGGGGTTTGAATCCTACTCTCTGTTATACTATTTTCACTCTGCCAAGTGCTAATATAGATTTTAAACCGAAGATCTTAACTAGTTAACAACTAGTCATTCAACATAGTTCAGGGAATGCTTAGTATTTATTGTGTACTTCTAAGTCTATAAACTTGGGAGAATGTCGGTTTTTGCTGGAGAAGATTAACTAATGTTAACGGGTTAATAATAGAGAACAGCAGAGGACATAGCATTGGTCTGATGATAGTAATAGAAATAGTCACAGCTAGTATTTATTGAGAAATTCTTAACTACCAGGCACTGTTGCAATCACTTCATGATATTTCACAATAAATCTGTTTTATAGATGAGAAAGTCAATGCTTGGAAAAGTTAAGAAAATTGCCAGCAATTTAGCTAGACGGTGTCTCAAAAAGTAAAAAAAGGGCAGTGGCTGTGGCTAAATGGCAGAGCTCTTGCCTAGCATGCATGAGGCATTGGGTTAGATCCCCAGCACCACATAAAAACAAATAAATGAAATAAAGGTGTTTAAAAAAAAACAGAGACAGCAATCAGCATTATAAATTAAACAAGCAAATAAATAAATAAAAAGGGCTGGGATGTAGCTCAGTGAGAGAGTGCCCCTGAGCTCAATAATGAGGAGGAAAAGGAGGAGAACTGAGTCTGTTTCTTTTTCAAATCAAGTCTTTTGACAACCATCCTGCACCATCCTCTCCTGGTGCACAGGATGTCTTTGGTCTCAGATATCTGGCTGTGCTGGATGTTTAGGACATACTTATCTAGTGAGATTGCCCCTCCCTTGAGGGTACAGAGCCCAAGTCCCCAAAGTGCTGATGTAGCCCTGGGTAGACTAGGAAGGCTGACGGAATACCTGATGAATGATTGATCTGTGTGGTTCCCAGTGTCTGAGAATGGGAGAGAATTTGAGAACATAAGCAGCTTCCTGCAGGGCAGAAGCCCTGAATTGGCCTCTCTTGGCCGCATGGGAGTAGGCGCCAGGATACCGGGGAGAAGAGCTTATCTTGTTCAACTGTTCAAAGAAAAACAAACCCCTGAGAAGCTCCCCAAAGTCTGCAGAGCAAGCGGGTTCCTATGACTGGTGCTCAGCGCTGCTGTGTGGGATCGCTGTTTTCAGAAAGGTGGCAGGAGACAGCTCAGCGTCTTCTCTGACAGCCCCTGGCTTAGGGCTGGGGGTCCTTCCGACCCTCCTTGCCTTCCAGGGTCCCCTCGCAATTTGCAAACCAGCATGATGAGCAGAGTCCTGAGAGGGCCCCTGGCCAGGCCAACAGGGAGAAAGGTGGCAGCTCCGAGGACTGAATCGAGCCGGCCAGGCCTGGAAGGAAGGGGAGAGGAAAGTGAAAGACCCAGGGCGACTGTCCTTGTGAGCCCCACAGGCCCTTCTTCACCGCTGAGCACGGGTGGTGATCCTATAACAAGAAGGCTTGACTTCAGGTGTGTGCTTGCCTCGGTGTTGAATTCTGATAGGAGAACCAACCACTGCGACTCCCAGTCTCTGTCTGATAGTTCTCTGTGTTGAGCCCATTGCTGTCTCTGTGGGTCTACTCTCTGCGACATGCAGACGAAGTGCCTCCTCTTTCACAAGGGCCCTTTAACCATCACAGTCAGCTGTTCCGGCCACTCAGTTGGGGTTGTGCAAACTTCTGACATGCACAGGGTGCTCTCCAGGGCTCCAGCACAGACCCTGATGTTCCCCTGTCCCCTGTCCCTGTGTTCCTGGGTTAAGTCCATCAGGCTCATGGAGCTCTGGTCTTCTATGAGTCCTTTTTAAAAATCTTATATAAATATTTGTTGCCCAGAAAGGGTAGTCAAAGATAAACTCTGAGTGTACGTCTGAAAATTGTGTTTAGTTTGCTCTAACACTAGATGAGGATTCAGAATTACAATTTTGAGTTCAAAATAACTTTCTTTTACATTTTTTGAAGCTATTCTATTGTGGCCCCATGTTGCTGCCATCTGAGTCTTGGTTTCTGATTGATTGATTGGTTCTTGGTTTTGTTTTGTTTTGTTTTGTTTTTTAAGAGAGAGAGAGAGAGAATTTTTTAATATTTATTTTTTAGTTCTCGGCGGACACAACATCTTTGTTGGTATGTGGTGCTGAGGATCAAACCTGGGCTGCACGCATGCCAGGCGAGCACGCTACCGCTTGAGCCACATCCCCAGCCCGGTTCTTGGTTTCTTATCGGTGACCTTCTCCCTTCCTGCCTTTAAGGATTTTTTTTTTCTTTGCCAGTGTCTTAAGTTGAAGATGCTATAACAACAACAACAAAATACTATCACAAAATTCCTTAGAATTAGGGTAATTTATAAATTTTAAATTTATTGTTCAAGTTCTTTTAAAAGTACATTCATATTTTAATTGATGAAATAGCATACTTACTTTGCTGCAGGTGAAACTAAACAATTCTCAAAACTAGGAACTAATGTGACCCCTGGAGGTGAAGACAGGTGCTCTCCTGCTAGTGACAGTGGCCATCAACTTCTGGCGGTACAAGGGGTGCTCTCATGCTAGGCAGGGAGTCTGCCACGGCTCTGCCATTTGCTCTTTGTCACTCCCCTTTTGAAGCCTGGGCCTTCTCACCTGGGAAATGGGCAGATGGGTCTCTGCCGCCTGGAGTCTCTCCAGCTCTGATGTTTAAGTGTTCTGGGTGGAATGTGGTGACCATTGCACTGTTGTCAACCCTCTGACACCCATTTCTTTGTCTTTCTCAAGGTGTCCCCAGAACCCCAGGCTGAAGACCACCCAGAGGACAGCCCTACCTCTGAGTAAGTGTGGACTGGGGGGTGGGTAGCGGCATGTCTGCTCCAGAAGCTTCTAATTCTGTTGGCTCCTGCCACCCCAGATCCCTCCTGTGCCCTGCTTTCTTCTTGGTCCCCAGTCTTTTCTTCTTTAAAGTTCCCCAGAGACCAGGCCTGTCTGTCTACCCTCGGGTGATCCCCCACCACCCCTCCAGCAGCGGGGTGGAGAGCTGTGGCCCTCAGTGTAGCTCATTTTTTTAAATATATATTTTTTAGATGTTGATGAACCTCAATTTTATTTATTTATTTATATGTGGTGCTCAGAATCGAACCCAGTGCCTCACACGTGCCAGGCAAGCGCTCTACCACTGAGCCGTGACCCCAGCCCAGTGCAGCTGATTTGGGGATGTGTTAGAAAAATCAGATGAAGTAGATAGTTAATGTGATAAAGTAAACAGAGCAACTTTGCTCTCATTTTACCCAATTGTTGAATCTGGATACTTAAAATTTTCCAAAACAAATTATCAAAGTAAAAAAGCTTTCAAAGTCCAGTTCAGATACCTCCTTCTCAAATCCCACCCCTCCTCTTCACATGAGGGCCTCTCCTCCTTCAGCAAGCCCCAGCCAGGCCCCATCTCTATTACCTGTGACCCCACCTGGTCCCCTCTGCCTTGTAGGCCTCAGGCAGGCAGGGAGATACAGATCTGTCCCTGACCCTCATGGCGCAGGTGAGGTGGGGCTTTGGAGATGTGGGTTGAAAGGAATGTTGAAGGTGAGTCTGGGTGTGTGGGCCTCCACCGGAGTCCTGGCCATCCTCTGTGATGTGGGCACTCTTTCCCAAGGGAGGGGGACCCACGGAAGCAACAGAGCTGGGGCAGTGTGCCGGAGAAGCTGCTGCTCCCCTGAGCTGTTCCTGCAGGGCTGGCCTGGCGGGGAGTCAGGGAGGAGGGTGTGACGGGAGCCCTGGCTAGGAGTCTCCAGGCTCTGCCTGTACCTGCTGGTGCAGTGCGCTCTTTCTGCAGGTGCCTGCCTGCAAGGCAGGCCCTAGGCCAGTGGACACAGGGCTGGGGAGGGAGAGTGACTCTTCCCAGTATCCCTGATGAGTGCCCCAAGGCACGATGCACCATGGTCAGAAGCCTAGTAAATTTTAGAAAATTCTAGACCCAAGAGACCAGTACAAATGTCCCTGGCCTCGCCTCACTTCATGTAGCATCCATTTATGATAGGTTTGTTCTGGGGGGGGGTGCTCTCTCCTTTGGGGAAGACTCCTTTCTCCCTGGAAAGGTCTTTTTCTTTTTTAAAAAGTGTGTGACTTTGGGCTGAGACGGTGGCTCAGTGGTTGAGCGCTCTCCTGGCCGAGTGAGGCTCTGGGTTCAATCCTCAGCACCACATAAAAATAAAAAAATAAAATAAAGGTATTGTGTCCAACCAATTACAATTAAAAAACAAATATTTTTAAAAAATAAATGCACTGTGTCCATCAACAACTAAAATATCTTATTTAAAAACAGTGTATGACTTTAGGAATCCCTGCTGAAGAAAAACGGATTGATAATAATTTTAATGAAGCTCCTTCTTGACTCCCTGGAGGGTGGGATGACGTCCCAAGAATCGACTCAGGACCGGCTCTTCCTCTTAGCAGCGCGCCCCACTCCCATAGTGGCAGGGGTTGGGGGGAAGAGTGGACAACACTGCCCCCCTCCGCTGGCCGAGCTCCGGCCGAGCTCCCAGGCCAGTAGCCCGTGGCATGGTGGGTGTGGCTGGGCACACAGGGAGCCCTGGCTCCTCAAAGACCTGGCACAGCCCAACTCTGTTGCCGATCCCAGGCGGGGGCCATTCTGTCAGCTTTCTGTGTCACTTCCTGCCTCTCCTACCCCTTCCTTCCTGGGGTCCCACTTATAAGAGTGTTGGGGTGCCCAGTGGGAAAGGACAGAGTGAGGGGAGTCTGCAACCAGGTCCCTGTGACTTTGGGCGCCTGTCCTCAGGCTTCACCCTTCACACCTCTGAGTGTAGAGGGCTGGGCTGCATGAGCCCACAAGGGCTTGAAGTCCTGCTGGGACGCCCCAGGCCCAGAGTGGTGCCCCAGGATTCCTGAAGGACAGTCCCCAGCTTGCCCTGGAGGGTGTTTGGGCATCTCAGGCATATTCCTCAGTAGAGAGGACCTCAGGAGGGGGTGGGACAGGAAGTGCAATGACCGCATCTGTCCTCTGTACCAGGCTTTGCTGGGACCTTGTGAGGCAGGGAACCCTGCAGGCAGCTACTCCTGTTCAGTCCATCCCAAGCGCCCGCCCACCTCTGTGCCAGACACAATAGGTGCCATCTTGTCCACCCCAAGGGTCAGTCGTGAAGGGAAGAGGAACCACTAGTCTAAGTCTGCCTTCCCACTGTGTCTCCAAGGCAGAAGGAACATTTACTGAGATCCACATTTTAACAACAGCAGCGCGTGCTGTTTGCAGAGTGTTTGCACATGGTAGGTGCTTAATAAATGCAGTGCCATAGCCAGCTGTGCACTTAGCGTGTGCCGTGTCAGGCGTGAGAGGGGTCCATATGTAGGTTGAGCCCGCTGTCAGAGCTCACCCTGCCTGTGAAGTCTGGGGACCGCACTGGGTGGTAATCAAGTGACTGCCCCAGGTCTGGTTCTTGTCCTGAGTTCTGAGAGAACCAGATGGGGCCCTGGAGGCTGCTCCCCAAATAAGTGTTGGCCAAAAGCATCAGGTGGACCTGACAGAGCTCACAAGTGGGGAATCTGAGGCCAGGAACAGGGAAGTGCCCCAGCTGCCTGACTGGCAAGTGGCAGAGCCTTCTCCAGCTGGAGTGACGGGAGGCGGGAGTGGTCACCATCCCACAACTAGCACCTCTGGCCTCTCACCCTGACCCTGTGGGCAGCTGCAGACCTGGGCCCCACCCCCTCAAAGGCAGCAGCTCCTGGTAGCAGCTCCCAGCCCAGCCACGGGTCCTACCAGGGCACCATGGGTGGGCACAAGGCCATCTGCACAAGGCGACACAGCTGTGGGAAGCACTGAAGACACAGCTAGTGCCACTCAGATGTCCAAAGTCTGGGAAGCCTGGGAGCCAGGGCTGGGTGGAGGGCAGGGTCCAGGCCAGAGGGCCCTTCTGTGAGCTCAGGCTGCAGGAAGGGGAGCCCTGTTCAGGTCCCATCTCAGTCACTCTGCCTGATTGCTCAACCAGTGGCAGGACCCTGGACAGCCACCCTGACCTGGTAGCAGTCCCCTTGACATGCCAAGGGTACAGGCACAGGAAGTGAGTTGGCAAATGGACATGGAGCTTCTAGACTCCCTGATGGAGGGTGACCATGGGTGAGACCCCGTCACTCTGTCCACACACTATGATTTTTAAGCCTCAGAATAAATTTATGAACAAGCTCTGTTTTCAAGAAGAAAAAAAAAAGAGGGTGCTCAGGGTGCGAACGACGGGCCCAAGGTGGCCACGCTGAGATGGGCTCCTGCTGCCCCCCACTCTCTCTCCAACTCTGCAGGCACTGGCTTCCTGCTCAGCCTGAGGTCTCAGTGGGTGTCGAGGGGATGATGAAGACAGAGAAGCAGGCAAGGCTGACCACATCAGGGCGTCGGGGAAGAAGGATCCAGAGGTCCCTGGGCAGGGGTTTTCAGCTTGGGTTTCAGGGTACACCCTTGGGGCCAATGTGGTCACTGATAGAGACACACTTTGAAGGTAACATCTTGTCTGTGTCTGGTCTTCTGCTTGCAGAGCCCCAAGCAGCAGCCACAAGAGGCCCGAGAGGCAATCAACCATTTCCTATGACTACGCGGAGGAGGAGCTGATGGCCAGCATAGAGCGGGAGTATTGCCGCTGAGGCCAGCCGTGCAGGGGTGTGACCATGGCTCCATAGACCCTGGGCTGTGTGAGAATCACTCCCCACCAGGGCTCAGCTGAACTTCTGCAAAACCTAGCTCTTCCTGGACTTTTCCAAACTGACCTTTTCAACTTCACTTGTCGGCCAGGGCATCAGCTGTGCAGGTACCCAGCCACAGGTGGAGACCTGTCTGTAGGGTTCTCTTGGAGCTTGAGGATTCCTCTTGGAACATCACCAAGGTGTGCCCTCAGTCCTCCGGCTAGTCTCCAGAGGAGGCCCGTCCACTCAGTGCATCTGGATTTTCATGAGCAATGAACCCCATGGAATGTGGCTGAAGTACAGATCTGATTCTGTAGGCCTAGTGGGGCCTGAGATTCTGCACCTCTAACTGGCTCCCAGAAGAGCCAAAGTGCAGCACCCCAGCTGCACTTGAGTCTGGGGTTAGGGCCTGGACTTCAGGCCTTTCTCAGCCTCCGTGGTGCTGGAGGCGTCTCCACCCCAGCTCTTTCACTAGGCTGGGATGGCAGAGCTCCTCACTCTCCTTCTCTGGGCCCCAGCTTCCCTCTCCAAGAGATAGTTCTGGAGGCTCTTTGACAGTCTGAGATCACACAGTTCCCACTGCCACCGAGGCCTCACCCTGCTGGTGCACAAAACTGCCTTCTGTGTTGGGAGTGGGTGTCCAGCCACCTGGACAGGGTCTCAGGGTACCTGCTGTCTAGCTCCACTCTGGCAGGTAGCCTGGCCAACCCCCACAGGGCCTGACACCCTTCCTCCCTGTGCAGAAGGTAGACAATCCCAGCCACGAGGCCAGAAGAGCCTGCCAATGTTCCCAGTTGACAAATGAGAAACCTGCCTGCCCAGAACCTCCTGCAGTAAGAAATGGTGGCAGTGTCAAGGGGCTAGATGGAATAACAGCAGCTTTTGCTGAAGCCATAAGCGATCTCGGCTCATCTCACATTTACCCACCAACACCGAGGCCTCCCTGGGCAGCCTCCATGTCCTGAGAAGTGCTGCCAGCACTGGGGCCAGAGCCTCTCAGAAACTGAGGAAGGGACAGCCATTTGGCACCATCCCTGAGCTCGTGGGCCAGTGAGTCTCACTGACAAGCCTTTCTGTGAACTTTCACAGTTGACAAGAGTGCCTTTGATCAGCTGCTTGCAGCTGGGAGACTTGCACTGCGAAGTCAGAGCACAGAACAGCAGAGCCGGTCACCAGCCTCTGGGGGGTTGCCTTAGAACCTCCCCAAAGCTGGGAGCTGTTCCTCTCCTAGGCCCAAAACATTCCTCTTGATATAAAGATGAAAGTCATTACTATTTTAATAATGTGAATGCTTATTTTAAAAGAAATTAAACTTTTATTTCTTACTGCCAGGTATATCTGGTTTTGAACTTGATGTAAATGTTTACAACTTTACATCATCATTTTGTTAGAATATGACACATTCAACTGGTTTCCAAGAAAAAGATGATACCTCTGCATTTTCTTGTGGAGAACTCATAGAAATCCTCAATGAGATCCAAGTGTTAAGACAAAAAAGTATTCCCGGAGTAGTTATAGTCTATGTCAACGTCACAGTGAATGTGCTTCCTCAAAGCTAAGAAGCCATCACAATTGTTCTCAGGCCTTTTAAAGAAAATTCCCCGAGTTCAGGAAAGGCGTCTCCTGCATGGTAGCTTGCCAAATAAAGCAGTGCATGTCAGTTGGAGAGGCCTCTTCTCCATGCTGCGAGGAGCAGGACCTGGATGTCACTGCAGCCAGGGCCCGGGAGTGCTTCCTGCGCTGGCTGTGTGCCAGGTGCCCACCGTGTGCCTCACAGCCTCTCTGTGGTGGTCCACAGTGCTTTCCAGTCCAAGTACCCAGCTCTAAGTGAGTGTGGGACCTACATCAATAGGTGAGGACATGGCTAAAACAGGCAGAAGGAAAAACGTCTCAAAGCTGGCGATGACCTGTCACTATCTGGAAAAGTAGCAGTCACTACAAACCGCCTCCCAGCTTCCGTAGTGGGAGAGCTCCCCAGACTTGAGAAGACCTGCTCCCTGCCAGCTCAAGACGCGGCCTGTGGGTTTTCTTGAAGGAGGGGCAGAGCCTCCTCTCCTCACATGCCCCCCAGGCTTCTGCTCTCGGTCCCCATGGAGCCCCAGGCAGGGACCTCCTCTACAGATGCAGTTGGCCCAAGCTGCCTGCTCCCCCCAAGATAAGCTTTTTGTTGTTGCTGTGTAACCCCCATACCCACCCCCACTGTGCGTGAGATCAAATCCAGGGCCTCACAAGCTCCACACTTGGCAGGCACTCTACCACTGAGCCACGAGCCAGCCCTCAGAGGGGCTTTCACCATCTCTCCCTCCGTGTCCCAGTTCCATGGCCACTTCTTTCCCCATGGCAGGAGCTCACTGGTCAGTAGGTGGGCACTCTGGAAGGCTGTCAGAGAAAACGGCCACACAGCCACCGTGAGGTGTTGGAGCTTTGTGGTGTGCCTCCTCCTTGTTCTGGCAATAGCTGGGCAGGAGGAAGGTGCTCCCATATGCCATRGAGAGAAGTCACATGTTAGACTCTGAGGGTTAGCCGAGTCCTCCAGCAAGGAGGCTCCATAATCTGACCTTCTGTGGGTGACAATCTGAACCTCAGGGACAAATCAGACCTGAAGAGGGGGACAAGGGGCCCTGTTTTCATGTGTGAAGAAACCTTTCCATTTTCAGAGTTGGCAAGGTAGACCTGCTTAATCTCTGGGTGTGGAAATCTGGGGAAGAAAGGTGGCACTTTCAAGTCCACAAAAGACCCATGGCATGACATGGTCCCACAAAAGACTGGAGGGCTGGGCCCTCAACTGCCTGCAGAAGCTCAGGCAGGAGCGTGTGCTCGTCTGTGTAAGGACAGGTCTGTCCTTCCCTGGCCTGGACCCCCATCAGGGGCATGGGCCCATGGCCTGCTCTTGGCAGTGACACTGTGGGGCCACAAGAGACAGTGACTTGGACCTCACAGCTCTGTCCCTGGGAGTAGAGGCTGGAAAGCCCCAGCGTGGGCTAAGTCCTGATTTCTGGAGAGAGAGACTGTGGAGGGAGGGACTGAGCTCCCTGCCCATCCAGCGGAAGAGCATTTAGGCGGACACCTTATTAGCACCTGTTGGTGAAGCACAGTTTACAGAAACAGCTTGCTTTTGTAGAATTCATACAACACTCAGAGGGTTCACTCCCTGCCAGTCTCTGTGCCAGCAGGACCCAGGAGGTATAAAACAGGCATGAGGAATGGGCAAGTGCCCCAGGAGCACAGAGGAAAGTGGCAAGCCATAGGCCTGAAAGGAGCTGCCTGGTCCAGGGCAGCACCTCCTCCCAGGCAACCCTTCTCCAGCGACAAGGCTGTACTCCTGCTTTTTTGACAGTCCAGGCCATGGAGGCCCCTGTGGGGACTTTGCCCGTCCCTGGAGAGAGACTGAAACCCAAATGGGGGCTTTAGGCAAAGAAAAGAGAATCAACATTTCTGAATGGTTTGTGGCCACTGAGCACAGGTAGAAGGGCACCTGGGCAGAAGCAGGGCAGCCTGACAGTAATCCAGGAGAAAGCTGCCGACTTGGGCCAGGTGACAAGTCATCAGATGCCAGATGTTTTGAAAGATGAGTCAAGAACTGTGACGGGTTGTATTTGAGGTGAGAGCAGAGTGACTCCAAGGTCTTGCACCTGAACTGCAAGGACTCACGTGCAGGTCAAGGACAATGGGGCCAACTGTGAGAAAAACAAGGGTGGGGAAGAGAGGTGGGGCTTGGCCATGTCGGGTTTGAGATGCAGACTGGGCAAGTGTCACGGGACAGGTGCAGGACTACCTAGTTCTGGCAAGAGGTGCAAGGAGAGATCGATCCTCGGGGTCTTCACAGTTGGGATTTCACATCTGTGAAGCCTGGGAAAGGTGACCCAGGGAGCCCAGCAGTTTCGAAGAATGAGTATTAGGACTCCCCAGAATCAAGAGGCCAGATGACAAAGGCCAGCAATAGACCAGACAGACAGGAACAGCAGACATCTGCAGTCCTTGGGGCCACTGTCACCTCTGCACAATGATGCAGACAGCAAGATCCCAGCCCAGAGAGCCCCTGGTGACACCCACAGGAGCTCTTTATTATGTACCTTTGTGTGTAGAATCAAAGCCTCAGTGGGAGCAGGCTCACGGAAGTACTGCAGAGGAGACTGAGGAGCCCTCGTGTTGTCGTTAACCCTGGGCAAGGGCCGGAGTGAGGCAGCAAAAATGTTTCCACACACCTCTTCCAAGTGGCCCCTCGGGCAGACACCCACCGCTGGCAGGGGAAGAGCACAGGCCCCAAGGGCCCAAGGGTCATCCAGCAGGCTGGGTCCTATCCTGCCAGGACCAGACATGTGTGTCCCAGTGGCCAACAGAGAAGCAACCTCCTCATACATTCCTTTCAGAGAGAACTCCCAAAGGAATGCAAAGAAACAGACTAAACCGAGAAAAAGGAGAGTTCAGGTTGGGCCAGGTCTGCCCACTCATCCTGGAAGACACTGGGTGTTACACTAAGGCACTGGGCACAGTTAATGACACAGGACACAAGTCCAGTTTGCAAATCAAGAAAGTTTTATATGATTCAAAGGAAAAAGTTACATTACACATTCTCATTTAAATAAGAATTCAAAGTCTGTTACATAAAACATAATTATTAAACAAATTTTACTGAAACTACTGAAAAGGCTCAATGTCAAAAATCAAGCAAATCTGCTCAGGCAATAAAGTGCACAGGGGGAACCTGCCTTGCCGGCGTGGCCTCGGGCACCCGAGCACTCGCACTGTCAGCACAGGGATGCCTCACTCACCCGCTGCAGCCTACAAGGGCTTGGTTCTCAGGAGGATTTTTCAGACGGGAACTTTTTCCCAACTTTTCAGAAAGTATTTCTAAATCTAATCAGGAAGTGGAAGTTTTAAATTAATACCATTTCAATACATCTACAATACTGTTCAGAGAATGAAATGTCACAAGCAACCAAATATTCAAAGACCTTCCACTACCCCAGATCATTGGACAAACATCACTGGTATGACATAATTAAGACAACTGTCCAAACCTGATGCCATTTACGACACACACATAGTCAAAAGTGTTTATGGTGACTTAGGAGGATGGGAGGACTGGGGTGGTGGGGAAAACACAAACTATGTACAACCATCGCTCTCCTGCGACCATATCATGCCTCATGACAACAAGAACATACCATACCTGTGGAACTGTCCAAAATGTGGAAATCTCCTAAAGACACACACATACATACGGTAATGAAAAACAGTTGATACTAAAGGACAACTTAATGGGTATCAAGTAACATACAATGAAGGATCAAGAGAGGGTTATATTAGACTAAAAAGACCTGAACAYGAACCCTAATTTTACTTACCCCACATGTCATCTTACCATCATTTTAATAAAGGTTAAGTGCCAATAACTAAAAGGCAAAAACAAATCCGCACAAAAAATATTCCCAGGCTACCAATATAGTGCAACATTCTGTGTTTTTTCATTTCTTCTGTTGCCTGAACTTCCAACATTTATCCAAAACCAATTCCGCCAGGCAGCCAATCTCCTGTGTTATCTGTGCTCACATGGCTAAAAAGCAGTGCCGTGTCCACGGTTTACTTGCAAGGTAGACTGTCTGATCAAAACAATATCTTTCAAACAAAATGAATGAAAGGTCAGTCAGGTGGGATTACATTGCCAGTCATGCGTAACACACACTTCCTAGTTTTTCATCCTTAACAAAGGGACTTGAACCTTGGCACCAACTGTATGCACTTGTACCTCACTTCAGATGAACTGTACTTGGAAGATCCATGCAAACTTTTTTCTAAGTAGTCATTCTACTCACAATGCAGTATGGATAAGGCCACATCAGAAGGGGTCAACTGACAATGAACAAAGCAGCCAGGTTCGAGGGCTAGCATTCTTTTGGGGGCCTCAGGTACAAACAAGAATGGTTCAGCAGAGCAATGGCCCAGATAGCAACAGCAAACAGATGCTCAGATCATGCAGCAGCCCCAGCACCAGGAGCTGGCAGTGCCCTGAGTAAACCCCCAGTGCATCCTTTACAGGTCACGCAACACACACAAATGACTAGCTCTAGCCAACCAGAATTTAGTTACATGGGCTACAGGATTGGTTGCCTGGAATTTCTCTTAAAAACATTATGAAGCTGACTGCAAAATTTTCCTTTCCTTCTTTTTAATAAGAGGCCCTTACTCAACCTGTTATTTTTTTAAAAAAATCTTAAACTGAGAAGACCTGATAATTTACGATTTTTTTTTTCTGAATGATGTACGAAGCTTACTAAAAGCAAAAGCAGAGTCATTATAAAACTTCGCTATTAAAAGCTGAAAATAAGGTGGTAAAATCATCTATCTAGAAACTGATGATTGGAGCACCAACAATATAAATATTTTTATAAAAAACAGTATAAAATTAGTACCCTGTCTCATTTCTACAAAATATGAATAGGAAGGTTGTAAAAATCCAGATTTTGTAAACTTTATTGCCGAAATGTTTGAATGCTGGTGATTTGGATCATCAAATTTTCTTCTATTTCCTTTAAAAAGAAAGAAAGACAAAGAAGGAAAGAAACTTTTCAAACTACAAAAGATACTGAACAGGGTCCCAACCAGAAAAGAAGGGTTAACACACTATCGGAACCAGCTCCTGGGCCTCTGAAGCCTTGTTTTTAGAGGAAGCCATCAGCTATTCCCAAGGAATCACAGTGACGCCCACCCACTCTCAGGAAGAGGCAGGCAGGGGAGCATGGGGGCTGGCAGGAGACTCCACCGAGGCGATTCTGTTCAACTTGCCAACCTCTGTCTGCCAGCCTGGGATCTTCTTGGTGGTCATGTGGCGACGGGCATGCTTCGTCAGGTGGTCACTGCGCATGAAACGCCGGTCACACACAGGGCACACGAACTTCTTCTCCCCTGTGTGAGTTCTGCGGTGGCGAGACAGTTCATCTGAACGTGCAAATTTTTTATCACAGCCATCCCAGCTGCAGTTGAAAGGCTTCTCCCCTGGGAGGTGAAAACCATCACATTAAAGAAAACATGCTCAGAGCCTTAAGGCGAATTTACATTCTTTAAAAATTTTGTTCATTAAAATCTCAGAATAGATTTTATTATTCAGATGGTAGGTGATCTAGAATCAAGAAGTCTTCCAAAACACATTTTCTTCCTCCCACACCTGAGAGGTAATAAATAGTCTGTAGAGCTCAAAGACATCAAATAAACCTTTCRAAGTTTATTTTTAAAATAAATCTGCTGTTACAGCTTAGCGTTAGGGACAAGATTCTTGAAAGGAATAATTCCTCCCCACCTCAGGATGAACTGCACATTTAAAAAAAAAACCCCACTAAGAATCTTTAAGACTTCTCACAATCATTAATTTCCTCTCCATATTTCTTATTTCACTGACAAAAAGGTTAGTTACAAAATGGAAAGGTTAGAGTTCAGACACCTTCTGCTACAAACTTAACGTGTTTGTTATTCAAAGTTCCAGAGCACTGGCAGGAACCCAATTGTGTCTTCCTGGAGTTGGGAGGTAAGCAAGGGAGCCTTGCAGGGGACATGGTCGTCCCCGTAACAGAGCCCACCAGGGTCTTTCTAGCCAGCAGGAGCATGCCCCTTCTGGCATCCTGAAGCCCTTCTTCACCAGGCTGCCATAATCACATGCTGCCTGCATGATCACTAGCTTGACACACTCTGTCATGCGACCTGTCTTTCCATGTCTAGTTCACCCATCTTTGTAAGCTGAACTCCTGGCACTGCACTTCCTATAGCAGGCAGCAAATACACTGTTTTGAATAAATGAGTGTTGAAGAGGTACCAACAGATATTTTTCAGAACTGAAGTAACAAGAAAATTCAGCAGCATTATAAACTTTATAATTAACACAGTAGGGCCCGAAATTTTATAGATTTTAAAGACCCCCACACATAAGGTTGCTGCTATAATTTGAACGTGTTCCCCGTATTTCATGTGGTGGAAAATTAATCCCCCAAGTCATTATGTTAACGGAGAGGTGGCATCTTTGGCAGGTGGCTAGATCATGAGGGCTCTGTCCTTGTGAATGGATTAATCCACTATGGAATGATAGCAAAGCCACTCTTGCAATAATCTATCAAAGCAAGCTCTCCAGCAGCTGCTGTCTCTCCTGTGGTGCCCTCTACCATGTCTTGATACAGCAGGAAGGCCTGGGCCAGATGCTGAGTTGATGCTGGGCCAGGCTCTTGGGATTCCTAGCCTTCAGAACTGAGTTAAATAGGCCTCTACTCTTCGCAAATTACTTGAACTCAGGTATTGGTAAGGCGACAAAAACCAACTCCGACAGTTGCCTACTTGTTCCCAGGTTCCACCACATCAACAGCACATCCAGTGTCCAGGAGCTGGACAGACCACCAGCCTTTGCATGAGATTTATAAAGACCCCTACTTGATTTTCAACTTACCAAAATGGAGCTTCCATCCACTTTACCTTATTCCAGTTTAAATGTGTTTTTTCAGGTTGGTAGAAATATATAGAAAGTGATCTTATCCAAGTAAAGTTACCCAAATCTATTTCTCATGAAAACTCCAATGGAGTGTTTACAAAATGGTATAAAAGAAGGGGATTCTCCAGAACATTCATGTTATTGAAACATAAGTACTTTGGGAAACATGAAAGGAACTTGTTTAGATGCCTGTATTTCTTATGATTCTGATAGTGTCTCTACCCAGGAAGGCTGACTGATTAAACATGAAAATCTCAGTCACCTCCCCAAATTTGGAATCCATGCCTTATATGTTCATCTGGATAGGCTCTACTAAAAGCAGAGCCTCAGCAATAAGAGAGAATAAAATCATGGCATTTTCAGGTAAATTGATAGAGTTAGAGAAAATAATGCTAAATGAAGTTAGCCAATCCCAAAAAACAAATGCCAAATGTTTTCTCTGATATAAGGAGGCTGATTCATGGTGGGGTCAGGAGGGGGAGCATGGGAGGAATAGAGGAACTCAAAAGATAGGGCGGGGTGGAAGGGGGTATGGGGTTAGAAATATGGTGGAATGTGATGGACATTATACATGTATGAAGACATGAATTGGTGTGACTATACTTTGTATACAACCAGAGATATGAAAAAAATGTGCTCTATGTGTAATATGAATTTTAATGCATTCCTCTGTCATATATAAACTTTAAAAAATTTATTTAAAAAAAAAATAAAGCAGAGCTTGCCACACCAAGGAGCCCACGAGAGCAGAGCAGAGCAGGCTGATTTCCTCAGAAGCACCCCTTCACTCTGACACAGCCATTACACCCACCCAGTGAAGAGCCAGCCATCATTACTAGTGTCAGACTCTTGTATCAGACACCAGGAATTAAATCCAGGTGAGATAAGACAAGTGCATAAGTAACTAAAAGACAAAGGGAGATGATGGGACACATAATAAACTAAGACCAAAGAAATGAGATGAGGAAACAAGCCCTTTGAGGGTCTCAGTAAGCACATGGAAAGAAAGCTGAGGGAGAAGGGTGGAAATATGGTATTGGAGAAACAGGGTCAAAGGAGGCAAAGAGAGACAGCCCCAAGACTGGCCTATGAAGTACTTGCCTCTTTGCTCAGGTAAAGAGGCAAGTAGCAAAGAGGCAAGTACTTCATGGGCCAGGCTTGGAGCTGTCTCTCCAAAGCAAATAGCCACCCCATAGCTATATGGAGGAACAGCTCCTTCTGGAATGTCTGAATACCAACATGCACTTCATGCTGCAAGCAAAGGCTGCTATGGTCAGAGGCGCACTGCACTAATTAGAAACCAGCCTATCTTAAAAGCATTGGCCATGGTGGTACACACCTGTAATCCTGCTACTGAGGCTGAGGCAGGAAGATCACAAGTCCAAGGCCATTCTGGGCAACTCAGTAAGACCCTGCCTCAAAATTTAAAAAGGTCTGCGGATATAGTTCTATGGTATAACACTTCCCTAGAATGCATGAGGCCTGGGGTTCTGTAAGACAAAAAACAAAACTCTCTCCAGTCAGTCTTTCCTATTTTATATTCCACAATCTGGACATTCTGATGGAAAGGGGGTTCCATGAAGAGTTATAAAACACATCTTTACTGAATGGCATACCTTATGTGCTTCTATGTAACATGTGAGTATCAAAAAGGCAAGTTGGACAAGTGACTATAGGATCCTTGGAAAATACAAACAGCCAGGGGTGGTGGTACATGCCTGTAATCCCAGAAGCTCAGGAGGCTAAGGCAAGAGGATTGCAAAGTTCAAAGCCAGCCTTAGCAACTTAGTGAGGCCCTAAGCAACCTAGCAAGACCATGTCTCAAAATAAAAACTAAAAAGGGCTGGGGATGTGGCTCAGGGATTGAGTGCCCCTGGGTTCAATCCCTAGTGCCCCAAACAAAACAAACAGCAGCACTACAGAGCACTCACTCACTGGACACCTGAAAAACGCTGCCCTCATCCAGAAAAGGGATTGATTCTCTAGCAGGCAGCACTCAGCCCTGTCAGACATCATGGCAGCCACCATCCTATGGAGCCTTCTAAACTTAAGTTCAATTAATGAGAAAGTAGAATTTGGTTCCTTAGTCACACTAGCCCCATTTCAAGTGCACATGGCTATCCAAATAGAACTCCCTTTTATTCACTGCAAAAAAATTCTACTGGGCAAAGCTGACTAGACAACAAGGACATCACTAGGTCATTAGAGTTTCTTGTTGTGACCTTCTGAATTAAAAATTATACATTCTCCAAAGAAAACTATTATTTTTGATATGGGAATTGAACCCAAGGATGCTTAACCACTGAGCCACATTCCTGCCCCCTTGTTAATATTTTATTTAGAGACAGGGCCTCACTAAAGTTGTTGAGGCTGGCTTTAAACTCATGATCATCCTGTCTCAGCCTCCCAAGCTGCTGGTATTTGTATTCTTTAAAAAGTATTCTAGAACCTGAACTTTTCTAGTTTAGACCGACATYCCCCCAAATCTTGTTGATGCTTTCACTAAACATGAATGCATTTTCTAAATGCAAAGAAAAACCAAGTGCGATGGCACCTGCCTGTAATCCCAGCAACCGGGAAGGCTGAGGCAGGAGGATGGCAAGTTTCAGAGGACAGCCCTTGGCAACTTGGAGACTCTATCTAAAAATAAAAAGGGCTGGGGATGTGGCTCAAGTGGTAGCGTGCTCGCCTAGCATGCGTGAGGCACTGGGTTCAATTCTCAGCACCACGTAAAAATAAAGATTATGTGTCCACCTAAAACTAAAAAACAAATTTTTTTTTTTTTAAAGAGAGAGTGAGAGAGGAGAGAGAGAGAGAGAGAGAGAGAGAGAAAGAATTTTTAATATTTATTTTTTAGTTCTCGGCGGACACAACATCTTTGTTGGTATGTGGTGCTGAGGATCGAACCCGGGTCGCACGCATACCAGGCGAGCGCGCTACCGCTTGAGCCACATCCCCAGCCCCAAAAAAACAAATATTTTTAAAAAAAGGGCTGGGTGTGTACCTCAGTGGTAGAGCACCGGAGTTCAATCCCCAATACAACACACAAAGAAATAAATATGCAAAGAAACCATGAATATCTACTGCAAAACAGAGAGATGGGGCCCTGGTAAGGTACTCTAAAACTTGTTGAAGGACCACAATAATGGAGCCATCCTACATTCCACCCAGACAGGGTAGCAGTGGTGCTGATGGTTATGCTAACAATTCCAACTCCTGCAAGATCACAAGGACTTTAAAGAACCAAAGAAAAAGAGCCCCTACCCACTCCAGCAGTCCTCCAGCCTCCCACTCAGAGGTGGCTGCAGATATGCTTCCTAACCAGAGGGTCTGCTGCTCCCATTACCCTACCTGCCCAGTGCTTACCTGTGTGAGTGCGAAGATGGGCCTTGAGATGGGAGCTCTTGAAGTAGGTCTTTCGGCAGCCTGGGAAGCTGCAAACATAGTTTCTCCTCCGGGAGAAGTCTACCTGAGGGGCACAGTTTTGGCTGGAGGCAATGAACAGTGGAGCAGGGGCAAGGGGCAACAACTTGGTGTTCCCAACAGCCATGACACTGGATGGGCAGGTAGCAGGCTGGGCTAGAGTGCTCTGTGGCAGCACCAGCATCACAGTTCCCTGAGGCATGGGCGGGCCCATGAACACAGGCTGGGGCACAGGTGCAGCCTGAGGCAGGATGGGTTTGACAGTCCCCACAGACAATAGGGGAGGGGGTCTCAAAAATGCAGAGATCATGCTACTCTGTCCAGTTGTAGGGATCATTTGGCACAGGACAGGGGGACTGGTGACAGGAACAGAAATCAGAGGGGTGGTTTTCCTTGGCAAGTCATTTTCAAAATTCTTTGGTGAGCAGGGCTGAACTGCAGCAGGCCACCCCGCCTGTGGGCCTTTGTCGGTGGGGAGCAGGCCGCCAGATCCGTGCAAGCAAGGCTGACAGGAAACGGTGTTAGCAATGAGCAAACTGTCTGCAAGGCGTGTATCCTGCAAAGCTTCCAAATGTCCCAGAAACTGTGCTTCCCCTTCTCTGCTATTGGACAGTCGCTGTTCTTGCATCTGAGCAGGAGGAAAGCAGGCAGGAACAGGATTCTCTGCCGTGTGGCGGATCACACTTGTTACCAAGGCCCTGCAGCTGGGCACAGGAGCTGGTTCCTGGGGCTCGAGCTTCAAACTTGGCAAGCCCCTCTCAGTCCTCTTGTTCAGTGCTCTGGCTGCCACCGATGAAGACAGCGGGAGGGCCATGACCCTGTGTGCTTTGGAATCAGTTACTTGGGGAGGAACAGGTGTCCCTGTCGATGGCTCCATGAGATCAGGGCTCTGAGGAGGAGTTATGCACTTAAGGGGGGGGAAAAAAAGTTCCATGTGAAAAGATCTTGGTTAAATTTTAAAAGAAACTCATCTGATCACATTGCCCCAATGCCTTTTTAAGATGCATGGAGGGAAGACTGGTCTGAGCCTGCTGAAGGCCCCAGCAGCTCTTAAGGCTACGCAAGGCACCCACTGTCTCAGCTTCTCCCCATTCTGTCCTGACCCCTCCTAAATCATGCATTTGCTCTGTTGGAAGAAAAGGCAATGTCTGCTAAGGCCTTGTACGACAACTAAAATGAGCAATTTAGCTTTAGGACTATAACAAGAAAACAAACTTAAACTTCAAAATCAGAGCTTTTCACAATAATCTCAAGTCCTCAAAAAAATCTAATCAGTGGTTCTGACTGAACCAAGCCTTCAGACAGTGCCCAACAATTCCCGGGTCTCTTCAGCCGCCCCACAGAAGAACCCAATGCTGAGGTGCAAGGGACTCCCAGTACTGGATCCACTGCTCCTCTCGCTGAAGTCAGCTGCCACAAGAAGGCAGAGGTGCCACTGTTTCAACAAAGTTCAGGCTGATGCCATAGCACACGCTTTCTCTAGGAGCTGCCCACATGTCCTAATCCTGGATCGGGTCACAAGGAAAACCTAACCCTCCCACCCCCCACCAAGACTCCCCAAGAAATTAAATTCCATTTTCTTGCATTTATCTATTATCTGAGGTACACTAACCCCATGTATCTCATGTCTGGAAGGTCATGATCCCTCAGTGCACATTTTCAAGCAATGAAGGAAAAATTTTCACCCATGAACCCACACAAGAGGGGTAAGCAACCTACTTGCCAGCATCCCAGTGAATCAACCCATGAGTTGTCAATGTAATTATTTAAGCCACTCTAGGGCTCCTCTCCCCACCCCTCCTCTTACCAGAGTTGATAAAGAATGAAAGTCCTTTGGTAGCTCAGCTGCAGCTGTATCCATAAGCATGGTAGTGGTGACATCCCCAGAGTCAGAGACAGGTGTGAGGGGTCTTATCTTTAAGAGATCACCTTTCTGGGATCTTTGACCCCAGGAGCTCATGCAAACCAGAGCCTCAACTGCCTCGATGTCTGTTTGCTCCAAGATGCTGCATGTAGACCTTTCACTGTCATGCCGCTTCCTCTCCAGGATTGACTCACATATGTCCATGATGTCAACCTACAGGTGACATAACACAATGTCTTCTCAGTCCAGGGGGAAAAAGGAAAGGCACCCCCCAGAGGCACATGGACGTGCACACCAGAAGCCTGCATCCGTGCATCACTTCAAAGGCAACATGCTCTGTGTGCTAGTAAAAGACCCTCATGGAACACTGGTGACAACTCTGCTTTCAAGCCAATGTTCTGAAGACTGGACCTGGCCGGCAAGCAGTTTCCCCTGAAAACCATGACTCTTAAAAGGTTACCGAGTTCATGTTTTTCTTGGGTAAATTATTAATAAGACTAACTACAAAAATATAAGTCAAAGTGGCTAGTGTGAAGGTGTCACTTGGAAGATGAATTCATAAAAGGCCTGAGTGGTCTGCCAGTGAGCCAGATCTTTTGATGACAGCTCCTTGAGTTGGCAAAGCCACCAGAGCATCCTCCTTATAGACCATTTTTAGACTCTCTGGGGCATGCGCCCAACTCCCTGGTGGCTCAACTCTACGGGCTCCATGCAGGTAGATCCCATGGTGACTGAGCCTGCTTTCAGCAGACTGAGAAACATTAAGGCACTGGTTCTGCCCCAGCCTAGGAGGAGCGAGAGGAAGAGTGTGCATAAGGTCTGTACAACCCAGGAGAGATCTTTTCCCAGGATTGACTGGTCTCTTCCAAAAGAAAACCTTAAATCTATACAGATACCCATTTCCACTTAAATTGCCTAAGCAGCAAAACTTTGACGAACCAGTTTCCCCCCTCTCCGAGAACAGGCAGAGGTCACCTTTGCAAATGCCACTTTGCCCAACCTCTGTGGGCAGCCTGCACCACAGAACAAATGCAGAATTTAGACAGAAGCCCAAGTGGAAAAGGATCTCACCTGCTCTCCCAGTGTCACTGCGACCACCCAGCACAAGGAACTCCACAGCCCCCAGACCCAGAAGCAAAGGGTCTGACCCTCCTCGTGCTGCGTTSCCGCCAGCCGCCTTTGCCCCGCCCCTCCGCGTGCCGCTTCTCCGCCCCTTGCCCCGCCCCCTCCATGCCCCGCTCCCGCCATCTGACCTTGCCCCGCCCTCGCGTCCTGCCCCGCCCTCGCATTCCCGCCCCCGGCGTGCAGGGTTCCCGCCGACAGCCTGCGCCCCGCCCCTACCCGTGCCCCGCCTCCACCGCCCGGGTGCCGCGTTCCCGCCAGCCGCGCCCCCGCCCAACGGCCACCCTCCTCACAGGGCCCAGGTGACGTCATGGCTGGAAATAGCCCCGCGCCGGGCGGGGCCGCCGGGAACCGCGAGACAAAGCTGCACGTCCGGCTGCGCGGGGCACAGCACACGCCCCCTCCCCGCCCGGCGAGACCCYGTGCTTCCACCGGCCCGCCCAACCCGGAGCCCGCCTGGTTGCCCCAGCGGTACCTTAACCGCGAGACCCCGCACAGCCCGCACCTCCGCCAGTCCCGCCAGGCGGCGCGCCCTCGCCTCGCCCCTAGCTCAGGCAGGCGTCCCCTCCCGCGCCAGCCTCTCCACTCACCGCACGCGCGTCGCCCGGGCCCGCGGAGCCTGGCGTGTGCATGGTGCCGGCGGTTCAGAAGCAACAAAGCGGCCGCGGGCGTGAGCTCGGGCACGGCAGCGGCCGCACGTGCGCAGCGGGCGGTGATGACCGGAGCTCTGGCGGCCAGCGCGCGCCTCAGCCCGCTCGCGCGGCTCTGCCCCGGCGCGGCCCTCGCGGCGCGGGAGGGGCGGGGCGCCGCGGAGGGAGCGGCCGCGGGGGCGGGGCGCGCAGGCAAACCAAAATACGCCGCGCCCCGCCGGGGGTGGGCCCGTCGCCTTCAGCCAATCCGTGCTCGGCCCGTGCGCGTCTGGCCAATAGGCGCCGCGTGGGCCCGCGTGATCGCAGCCTGGCCGCGGCGTGATCCGGCAGGGCGGGATGCGGCACGTGTTTTGGTCGGGGCCGGGGGGCGGGGCCTAAGCCCTGGAAAGTAGGCGAAAGGTCCCGGCGGCGGCGCGGCGGCGAGCAGTGGACGGGGAAGTCTCGCTGGGCGGGGGACACCCACCGCACTCAATGGGGCCACCTACCGCCGGCCCGAGCGTGGGCCGCGTGAAGTGGATCCGTCGGGTAGCGGAAATTCAGCCAGAGCGCTCACCCCTGCTTTTCTTTGCTTGTTTTCACTGCTAATCTGTYTTGGGTTCCTAGAAATGCATCCCTGACCGGGAAGTTTGAAAGCTGGTTGCTTCTAGGTAACATTCTTGCAGGCCCCCAGATCCGAGCTTCTCGGTGTCTTCCATTGTCGCCTCTCCCTAGGCATCTATTTCTGAAGAGGGACTGGGGAGGCCAAGGCGGTAATCACCTGAACCCCTACCCACGCCCCCAGCCCTCGGGCCAGCGTGAGAGATAGCCCAGTGCCACCGATCCTTTCCACAGTACTAATGTCGCCAGAGCCTCAGTTCAGCACTCACTCAATTCTAAGTTCTTGGCGAGCAGGAGCCATGCACGTTGTGTTCCCCAACTCTGCAGGGCAGCAATGGGACATCCCTCCACTCATCCACTGAGCCCACATTTTCAGAGCCCTGAGGCAGTGGAGAAAACTCCTAAGTGGACAGGTTCCTTGTCTGGCCTCAGGAAACTCACATAAGCAGGCAGAGCCATCCTCTCAGGCTGGTAAGGGCACTGAGATGGAACCCACAGGCCTACTCTGGTTGAGCAGAGGGATTAAATAGGCAATAGAGAGTATTCCCTGGGCATGGTGGGGAAGGCATATAATCAGAGACTAAAGTTCAAGGCCAGCTTGTCAACTTTGAGACTGTCTCAAAAAAAAAAAAAAAAAAAAGCTAGGGATGTAGTTTACTGTTAGAGAGCCCCTTGGGTTCAATCCCCAGTACTGTGGGGAAAGAAAGCACCAGGAATGTTTAAAGATGAATTAACCATCATCAGCTGTACCGATGAACTTCTAGGAAGTCTCTGGGAAGGGCAGCCAATGATCTATCTGCGCATGAAGTCTTAAGTCTTGGACACAGATTTGATTATCCTACTTTTTTTTTTTTTGGTACTGGGGATTGAACTCAGGGTCACTCAACCACTGAGCCACATCCCCAGCCCTATTTTGTATAGAAACAGGATATCACTGAGTTGCTAAGTGCCTCAACATTGCCGAGGCCGGCTTTGAACTCATGGTCCTCCTGTCTCAGCCTCCCAAGCTGCTGGGATTACAGGCGTGCATTACCATGCCCAGCCAGGACTTGATTATTCTGTTTTGCCTGCTTGTCTACATTAGATTTCTAATTGGCTCCTAATGTGTCCATACCTATCAGAACTATCATTTTCCCACCCATCATTCTCAGGGATCTTTAAGCTTTTCTGTGGGCTGCTTGGATCAATATCCACAGTCCCTACTGCAGTTTGTGAGCTTTAGAAATACAATTCTTCCATCCCAACCTCATTGGCCTTTGCATTCCCAAACCAGGCCGTAGGATTGCTATGGTTTGAATGTTTGACCTGAGAATTCTTGTGTTGTAAATTCAATTCCCAAAGTCATATATTAATGCTATTTCGAAGTGGAACCTTTGGGAAGTAATCAGGGTTAAATAAAACCATGATAGCATGAGTAACTTTACAAGAAAAAGAAGAGAGACCCCAGCTAGCTCACCATACTTTCTGCCGTGTTATGATGCAGCATGAAAGCCCTTGCTAGAAGCGGAACAGAGTTTGACACCATCCTCTTGGGCTTTCCAGCCTCTAGAACTGTGACCCAAAAAAAACCTCCATGTAAGTGACTTGCTCTCAGGTATTTAGTTATAACAATAGAAAACAAACTAGGACAAGAGTCAATGACCCCTCTTGGTCATTTGTCACACTAGCCCTTTTGCTGTCTCCTGGGCCTGGTACTTGCTGTTCCCTTGAATGCTTTTCTCCTGGGCATAGCCTCCCATCTTCCTGTCCTCTCTGCAGAGAAGCCTCTTCCAGAGTACCTGTGGTCTAGAGCTGACCTCCAGCTACTCCCTCTCTCTGCTCTTTTTACTTCCTCCAAGGCACTTTCCCCATTCATCAGGTATTTGCTATCCCCCCACTAGCAGGAACTCCCTGGTAGGGGGCTGGTCTAGTTTGTCCATGTGGCCACATGGCAGCTGTTGAGTGAAGGAAGGTGAACGCCTACTGGCCTCCCCACTTGGACATCCTACAGACACATCTCATTCAGCATCCTTGGAACTGAACTCATATTCTGCCCAAATCTGAATTCCTCACCTCCATGCAGGGCACTCCTGATGTCCTGTTCCTTGATCTAGAGATCAGAGCATCACCTTTGACTCTTCCCTTTCTTGCTCTTATTTTCTTTCACCAGTTATGTCAAACCCTCCTAAATATTCTCAAACATTGTCATCACCCACTCCTGCCCTCATCCAGGTCACCATCTGGGTTCACCTGAATGGTTGCTATTGCCTCCCTACAGGTCTCCCTACCTCCAGCCTGACCACATCCAACCTGCTCCTCACCTCCCTGCTAGAAGGATCTTGCAGAAGTGGACAGGTACCCAAACCATAGTCAAAACCCCAGGGGGACTAAACTGGTACTTCTTAGCCAGGATTCCTTGACTCTTCCTGACCAGGCTCCTGTCAGCACTTCTTGCATCATTTCCAGCCAGTTCCTCACTTGCTTTTCCTCTGCCTTCTTGCCCCCCACTTTCCCATTAGAACCATGTGCCCCCTGTCCCATCAAGTCACTGTCTTTTGTTTTGCAGAACATGCCAGCAATAGTCCACTTTGACTGTAAGATTGCAGCGTGACTTTGGGTGAAGTGCTTTCCGACTCCCCCAAGCAGCAGGATAGCTCAGTGGAAGGCTGAGTTCATGGGCTGAAGTTGACCTGAATCCAGATCATTACGACTGTGGCCAAGTCCTGTGACCTGCCCACACCCATTCCTGCTGCATGGAGGCAGCGGCTTTTTCAGCACCTGGAGTTCCGGCAGCTCACACCCCAGACCCTGTCTTTACTCCATGGGTTACCTGGGAACTTGGGAAGTGAGTTGGCTAAGGGCTCTTTGGGCATAAACCCCAAGTCTTCCCACGACTAGCCTATCTTCTGGACAGCCAGGAAAGCGGTGGCTGCTGCCAGACCCAACTGTGGCCCCGCCTGTGGTCAGAGAGCTATTGACGTGTTTCTAAGCTCAAAACAGTTGTAAGTCTTTGACTAGGGAGACATTCGTGTCATCACCACAGGCCTCTGGGGAGAGTGTGGTCCAGCAGAGGGACTGGACCTGGCCAGTGTGTAATGCCTGTGAAGAGAACTCAACAAGGTCCCACAGGCTGGAATGCCACCACTCTCAGGGCTTGCAGAGTCCATGTGTATGCACTCACACTCTTGCACAGAGAATAGTGTGCTGCATACTTTCTGAGCCTTGCTTGTTGACTTCACACTGTCTTGAAGATTATTGCATATCTGCTCATAAATATCAACCTCATTCTTTGTAATGGTTAGACAATATTCCATCGTATGGATATGTTAAAATTGATTTAACATTTCTGGCTAAATAACAAGACATCTAGGTTCTTTCCAGTTTGCCCAGAGCAGCAAGCCCATCCATAGTTTGCCTACATGCAAGGAAAACTACAGGACCAGTTCCTAGAGTGGGAATTGCTGGCTTAACTACTGTGTGCATTTCTTAATTTGGAGGGGGCACTGGAGATCAGACCCAGGGCCTCACACATGCTAGGAGAGTGGTTTACCACTGGACTACATCCCCCATCCCTCCTTTTTCTTTTTTTATTCTTTGAGACAGAGTTTTGCTAAATTGCCCAGACTGGCCTCCAACTTTCTATCCTTCTGCCTCAGGCTCCCAAGTAGCTGGGTATATGCTACCACGTCCAGCTGGTTTTATATGCATTGAGACTTTTAAAAAGAAAATCTACAATATGATGTGGTTTGGGGTCTGACTTTTATTTAGTGTGCTTTTGGGGTTTGTTTAGCCTTCCAGCTATAGAACATATCATAATGTATTGATCCATTCTTCTGTTGATGGACATTAGGATTGTTTTCAAGCTGGGGCTGAATAAAGTTGCTATAAAAATTCTGATGTACGTATATGGTGTTTTTATTTGCAAAAACATTGTCAAGTTGTTCTTCAAGATGTTGTTGTGATCATTTACCCCACCAACAGTGAACTGTAGGTCCCCATTTCTTTATTAACGCTGGTTCTTCTTGGCATTTCTGCCTTTTATTAAGCTAAGTGAAAAATGTGAGAGCTCATAGTAATCACTTTGTATTTCTTTCATAGACTTTACCTGAGACTTTTTCACATATTAAAAAACTATCTTGATCTTCGGTGAAGTTCGGAGAGTATTTTAACCTAGTGTAGAAACATGAGTGTGTGCGAGTGCTGAATGGAGGGAGTCTATGCAGAAACAGAAATGCTGCAAGGGCCGGGCTGGTTGGAGATGAGGTTGGAGAAGTGGGGCAGATAGGAGGAGCACACTGCAGGGAGCCCACTCAGGCAGAGGAAGGACTTGCCTGGGTCAAGAGGTAAGGAAGAGAAGGTGGTCAGAGAGGCAGGAAGGTCTGGGCTTGGGTGCTCAAGTGTGTTCCATCTTGGTGACCGTCTGCTGTGGGAAGAGACACTGGTGAGGTTGGGACTGGGTGAGTTGGGAAAGGATTCGGTCTGACCCACTGAGAGTCAGGAGAAGCAGCAGGATTGGTTGCCCATGCAGAGAACTCAGCAAGCATGTT